AGAATCAGAATATTCAGAGTCATCTTCTTCCACTCCAAAATCAGAAAATGACAATCTGACAGGTTCCTCATCAGATTCATAAGTCATCAATAGCACATGTTCATCATCAGAATCACCTTTGGCTATTTTTGCTTCTTCTTATTCCCTTTCCTTGTTTGACCTGCAATCTTTAACAAAATGGTCAAACCCATTACAACAGTAAAATTGAACCATTCTTTTGTCATACTTCTCATTTCCCTTATGATGTTTCTTCTCATCAGAATTTGAAGAATTTTGACTTCTGGAATCTACCACCATGTTTTTCTTGCTTCTGGTCCTTCTTGATAAAAGATGCCTTCAGAGCCTGCTCAACTTCTCTCTCAGAAGTTCTCTCAGTCAGACGCAACTCTTGCGCCTCTAGACTTCTTTGCAGCTCTTCTATTCTCATAGTGTCCAGAACTTTAGAATATTCAATTGCTACAACAATGTAATCAAATTGAGGGCTAAGTGACCTCAATACCTTCTCTACGATTACTTATTCAGAAAGGGTTTCTCCACAAGCTTTCAGCTCATTAGTGATCAGAATCACTCTAGAGATGTACTCAAAAACCTTCTCGTTGTCCTTCATGTTAAGATTCTCATACTGCTTTCTTAGAGACTGAAGCTTCACCTTCTTCATTGATGCGTCACCACCGTAACACCTAACCAGCGTGTCCCACGCAGCCTCCACCATTGTCGAATTAACAATTTTCTCAAATATGTTCTCATTCACACATTGATGGATGAAGAACAATGTCTTCTGATCTTTCTTCCTTATAGCTCTCTGCACGTTTCTCTCTTCTTCTATTGCATCTGCTGCAACCAAAACATAGCATTCGGTAACAAGCTCAAGAACATCTTGAGCACTGAATAACACGTGCATCTGAATCATCCATCTATTCCAGTTCTCGCCATCAAAAACTGGAAGTTTAGTGCTCAGACTATCATTTTTGGTCATCTTCAACCTTGTACAGAACACTCAGATCTCACAAACACAGTGTTTCTCAATCCCACAGAATCAGAAAATGTGATTCTGTTCAGATTTTGTTCAAGATTCAACATGAATTCAAGAACCAAAATCAATCACACAACGCCTCACTGTTTCACTCATGTTTCCCGTGAATCTAACCAGAGCTCTAGATATCAATTGTTGGTGCACAAGATTTAATGAAGATGAAAGGAATAAAGAGAAAGAATATAATTACTGCAATGACGGCTAGAAAGCTTATAAGAGGATTTGATACAAATGATTACTACCACTAGTCAATTTATACACAAAGTAAATTGCCACGTAGGTCCTAATAAAAGATAAACTTAATAAATAAGTTAAAAGGTACAAACTAAACTTAACAGTTACACTAACAAACTCAACTTCAGAACCTCAGAAGCTTACAGTTTCTAGCTAACAACATAAAAAATTCTACTGCTTTTGAGTAACAACACCAGAAATTTCTGCTTCTGACTAACAAAAACTTCTGAATATAAATTACTTTCCAACAAAATACGTGAACAAATTGATAATAAAAAATCCAATTTCTTCTTAACTTCCAATTGAGAAGCTTATTCAATAAATGATATCTTATTGATAGTTTTGAAAACCCCTCTCAAATGTTCAAAGATTAATAAGGGTATTTAATTATCTATATTAATTAATAGTGCTCAACAAGCTCATTAACTTTAAGGTCAATTGAAATTAAATTTAAAAAAAAACATTCAATTCTTTTAAGAGATTTAAGTGTCAGTTAAATGTTCATATTATAGTTTTTAATTTGACTTTGATACTATGTTAAACATATTAGATCTCAACTTTAAAAATTAGCTCAAAAAATAAAATTGTCCAAATATATTTATATATCTAACCGTCTATAAACTTAAATAATGTAAAACTTCACAAATACCAACTTCCAACAGTAAAGATAATATCATAGACTCAGTTGTGTCATCATATTTTGTTGAGGTGGACACTTTAGAAAGTGGCTTCGAAGCTCACCATTAAATTTATTTTTATTTTGGAATTTGCAAGAAGATTCATTGTGTATTTTAAGTTGGATTGCTTAACCTCCTACTATTATACTTTTGCATTGGCCATTATGTCACACCTTGCAAAGCATTAAACATTGATTTGCGGATATAGTTGGTAATCTAAAATAAATAAATATAATTTAATATAATCACATGTGTTCGATATCACTCTATAATGCCTAATATATTTTAAACTATAGAGATCCATATAACTTAATTAAAAATGAGATCAATTAAGTAATTTAAAATAAGATAATTACACAGTAAAGGATCTTAATCCAGTGGTATAGCACACAGGTACATGAAACTTTAGTGGTTGACCTCGTGCTTAGATCACCTATGAAATGTGTTTTTAACAGACAAAAGTTATGAAAATCCAAAAACCCTTTTTGGTTTCACCGACCCTATTCTTAAAAAATTCTTATCCACCAATGCACCAACACCACCCACTTCCACTGCCAACTACTTGTGTGGCATCCTTTGTTATTTTGTACGTTAGTTTCTAAATTATGCAATTATTTTATCAACTATGATATCATTATTGATAATTGCATGATTATATTATACCTTAATATATGCACAAAGCCATTAACTTATGCCGTACACGTGGCCCACATACTTAAATGATCTGATGGTGGGTCATGCTCAAAATGGGTCTTCCTCACCAACTGGCCCAAAGAATCTTTTTGGAACTTCAACTCATTATAATTATTATTAGTGTTATAAGTGTGCCTTAGAAAATAGTATGATGCATGTGAAAACATGAATAGATTGGGTGTTATGTTGATACTTTACTCATTTAGGACCATGCAATTTGACTTCAATTTAATGAGAAAGTGATGGACTTGGTTTGTTTTCTAAATTGTAGGTAAGATAAGACCATTGAAAAAGTTTCCAACGTTTATAATTCAACCAAGTGTGATAGTGGAATAAAATCATATATATATTTGTTGATTTTTGTTGTGTGCAATCATGCACATCAGTAATCGTTTTATTAAGATCAGATAATTCTAATTGCAAACCCATTTAATTAAAATCAGACAATTCTAATTTCACTTCAAACGGCTTTATCTTTTGATCTAACAACTACTAGACTGTTCGAGATTGGGACAGTACTTGTGTAAGGTCATTATCAAAAAAATGACTCCTTTTTGTACAGAAAAAGGATATGGTTAAAAAGATAGACAACTATTGTATGGTTGTCAATGGCCATATATCCATGAGACTGTTCCCACATCAGCAATATGGATAAGCCAAGTAATTGGAACCAAACCAAGTGTTTCTATTTTTTTTCTTCAAGTGTTCTTATCCTTTCTCTAAAGCAATATGAGGGTGAGAGACACTTAAAAGAGATAGGACAATGACCAATTGCAAGAGGGCCAGTGGCAAAGAGAAAACAATTGGCTTCAGTCCACTAATGGATAGATAGACAAAAAAGAAAACTAGACCTTTGTTTGATTCACATCACTTAGTTGTACAGTCAGATCCCACTTTGGTGTTGGTTTTGCTTTTACCATTCTGCCTCATGCCAGATTGAATACCAACAAGGGAAAGGAGATAGATTTTTCTTATAATAATGAGAAGTGAGACAGAGAGACCAGACCAAACATCAAATTATTGGTCCCCTCACATCAGCTATATTTCAAAACAATAACAAAATTTTCAAATTCAAACTCTACCTAATATGAAATTAAACAATTTAAAGAATAAGGCGGATTGAAAAAGGAGATAGGTTCGAATCACACTAAGCACTAACGATTCACGTTTTAGGCCGGTCCATACAGAACGAAATAAGGCTCAGTTGCAAAGCCGAATACCAAGCTTTCAAAACAAACAAAAAAAAAGCTTGAATGAGTTAAGTGATTAATGAAAAGAGTCAGGCTCCTCAAAAGGGTATGATAGATTATCAGGGACATCAGAGAAATTCAGATGCTATCTCATAAATACAGCTCAAATGGTAAAAGTAGTTGACGCATAGGTTTGAAGCCAAAACTCTTCTCTATACTTAGTATGTGTGAATTTCACGCGAACCACACAGTTGGATTCAGATCAACAGACTGCCCGTTTATCATGATAGTAGAGATTTTGGGTCCAACAACAAATTCCCCTCTCCATCACTCTCTTTTTCATAGCTGATAAAGAGATTCCTCAAGGCTTGTGAAATAGAATACCAAGGGAAGAAAGGGGGCCTGCAACGTGTACTTGAACAACACTTTCCACACATGATTAATAAATATAACTTGGCAATAATTCCACATTCAGAAAACGAAGGACATAGACACTACATGGTCCATGCATATTCTAGCATTTATTAACCATCTCACAATTTGTTAACAACAGCAATAAATTCTAAAATCAGATGATACAACAACACATCTGAAAAAGAAAACAAATAAAAACAAAGAAATTAAAGAGACAGCTAAGTTTCAGCTTAAAAACTAACTATCATTTGAATCCAAATTCAGGAGACAACTAAATGTTCATTACAAATTGAATAGATTTTGCTTCTCTACTATTATGGTATAGTGGAAAAGTTAGGGAACATCACCTCTTCACACCTTCTGTTTTGTGATCCCTCTGAATCTTCTCCCAATGTACTCCTTTTTGAGACCATGGAAATGAAATATCAATTACGAACCAACCCTCATAGTAGCTTCGGCAATCTCCACTTCTCCTCGTCCTTGACATGTTTCCCCTATACGATAAATTGAATAGAAACGAAAAACAATAACTGTAGAACTCCATCTCCTGGCATCATTCTCCCTCCTCTCCCTCACAATATTACTATTCCACCTCTTTAACCCCAAGTCCTCTTAAAACATAAAACGAATAAATATGAAGAAATCTCGGCTTCCATCAAAAGAACAGCATCGTTGTGGCTTTCCATCACAGCAGCCGCGTGAAGAACAGTAGTTTACTAATAGTCCCATCTTCACCAAAATCTTTTTGAATTGAAATATCTAATGTAGAATGGTAACATTTTCTGGAGCATCATCTCGCGGCCCATCAAGAGACCGATACATGTACAGTATTCCAATATCCTCTACTGCATCTTCGCCATTGTTGATAACTTCCAAAACCATGTGAGGCAATGCCCGTGCAACTTCTTGGCAAGCTTGACGTGTCAATTTACAGGACGACATCCAAAGGAACCTCATGTTATAGTAATGATGCAAACCGGATCGCAAAGCTGCGTCTCCAAATGGACTATCCCTGATTTCAAGTTTCTGCAAATTAGGGCACCCTTCAAGTACATACTTAAGGCCTGTGTCAGTGTCTCCTGCAAAGGCAACTGATAGTGTCCTGATCAATTTCCCATACCTTCCGATGTATTCAAAAGCCCGATCAGTCAGCAGACCAGATACAGCAAGTCGGGTGAGCTTCTTGCAGTTCATAACGATAGCACCAAAACCCTCATCCATGGGTTCTTGTGTCACAGCATCGGGACGATACACCCCAATTATACAAAGACGAAACACCACAAGATTTGGACAGTTCTTTGACATTGCAACCACAGCTGCGTTCGTCATCGTCTGGCAGAAAAACAAAATCGATTCTAATTTTCTACAACCCATCGAAATGGCTTCGAAACCAACCTGAGAAACAGGACCTTCAGCTTCCTCCCTCGCATCCACAGGAAAAACTCGAAGCTCACGCAAGTCGTTGCAAGTTGCAGCCACTGCCTGAAGGCCTTCATCGCCTATCGAATCAAGGACCTGCACAACAAAAGCAACACCAGTAAGCTTCAAAATCTCTATGTTCTTTCCCTTCACATTGCAGTCAAATCGCCACGTTAAAACGCAAAAACACTAACACCTACCCACAATATCTGCAGCTTATGACAGTGACATATAACAGACTTCAGCTGTTCCGCATTAACATCAGCATAACTAAAATTCAACGAAGTAAGGTTCGAGCAAACCGGATAAATAGCAGGAAGGTAATCCGGCCAAATCTCCCTAAATCCAGACAAACAAACCAACGATCTGCAAGCTGCAAAAGCAGATGCATAATCAGGCTCTTGATCAACATTCTCATTAGCACTGAACGAACCCGTTCCAAGATGTGTGAGCTGAGGAGCACGAAGCATGAGCCGATGAAGCTGAACCATTGAAACAGATCTGTTCAATCTAAGCTTCTTCAAACCAGGCGATCTAGCCACCAGCCCTTCCAATGCCTCAAAATTCACAGGACACTCAACACAATCAAAAGCAAGAGACTCCAAATGAGTTTGTCCCTCACTCGGAAAACAAGATACCCAATCCACCTCAACATCATCCTCAACCTCAATCACAGATTCCACCAGCTCCAGCACCCTCAACAGTCTGAATCAACAAAAAACAAAAACAAAAACAAAAAAAGCACATTCATTCAACACAACAAGCTCAATAAATCAATCAAATCCCGATAAATCCTCACCAAACAAACTAAAAAAGTATAACTTTTTCAATTATTATTATCAACCAAAACCACCTTCAATTGAATAACAGTAATATTGACAGTGAACCCAAAGTGGTTGCAATTGAGACTAGAATTGACTTAATTAAGACTACATTTGACTTGAATTCTCCACAATATAAAAATCTTGATATCAAATAATATACTTATAAACTGTTTGTGAAAATGCCTCAACGAGGTTAATTTAATTCTGATTAAAAAAACCTTTTTTCAGTAAACACTTTCTAATTATGGCGATTCTGAATACCTGCACTTAGAAGCAATAACAGCAAGACCAGGGGTACCAAATCCTTCACAGCAAACAAGCAAAAGCTCGCGAAAACCCGGGAACGAATCGCCGATGATACCGAGATCTTTATCGGTAACAGACATACGTTTCAGATGAAGCTTTTCAAGCCAAGGGTAAGCCCGAGCAAGTGAAGTAACCCAAGGAGTGAAGTGGGCCCCCCAGTCAACCGGCATCAGATCGAAATCCGCAAACCTGGGCTTCCCCTTAACGGTTACCGACTTGATGCGGCTGAAGCGGGCGGTAACGCGGCGGGGGGAGAGAGCGTAGCAGTTTCCGATGAAGAGGTCGGATCGAGTGAGGGCTTCGGCGCGGTACCATGAACGGCAGACCAATGAGGCGGCGTTGCGGTCTTGGCGGGAGGAGAGGAAGTGGAGGACGTTCTCGAGGACGTTCTCGAGGACTTGGTCGGGGAAGGGGGAGGGGTTTTCGGTGAGGGGTGAACCGGGGAATGGTTCGGATGAACCGGTTCGGTTTTTTGAGGTGGAGGATTCGGCGATCTCGCCTCTTGGTTGTAGATCTGGTGTTGTTGTTGGAGGATGGTTTTCTTTCATTGTTTTTTTTCTTCGATTTGGTTGATGTTGGTGTTTTTTTTGTTGTTGATCTGGGAGAGTGTGGTTTTTTATGCAGAGAGATGGAAGCTTTGATTTGTTTATGGGTTTATAGGGAAATGAGAGTGAGGGAGAGAAGAAGGGGTGGAAATAGAAATAGAAATAGAAATGGAAGGGAGAGAGATAGAGATTAGAGAGAGAAAGTGTTGAAGATGATATGAGATGGAAGAAGTTGGAGTGAAGTGAGAGAGGGTATATGAGTGTTAAGAAGAGTGTGATAAATGGAAATTTGACTGCTATTCAATGAGTAAAGTGTAAAATTCATTAATTATTGTTTCATAGTATTTTTTTACTTAAATAATGTTTTTTATTGCAATAACTAAAACTATTCTTTTCATAGTATATGCTTGATTTCTACAGCTAAATCAGTTTTAATATAGTTTAATCATTAAAATTTAATTATTTAGCGGTAGTTTTTACTATCCATATTAAGAATAACTATTCAGTTTAGATGTAATAAAAAAAATAAAATTGCTAGAAAACAATTATTGATTAATTAAATATTTAAAGTTAAAATGTACTATACAATTTACTTTCTTTCTCTATACTCTAAATATTTTAATATAAATATTATATTTATTAATGGTGAATATTTTTAAATTTTTAAATTTAATTGAATATCAGTATTTTTATTAAATAAAATGATAAAATAATAATATTTAATGTCATATTATATTTTAATATTATTTTATTTTATAATAATTAAAAGTTTTAAAATTATTTATATAAAAGGTATTGATATCCCAATTAACATTATGAGTATCAAATAATTTATTTTTATTAATTTATTTTTATTAAAATATTTTTATTTATTGTATATCAATTTGCCTAACTATTACTTTATTTATTTACTATTATAAAAAATTAATTTTACAATAAATAAGAAAATAAATAAGAAAGTTAGTTAAGTGTTATTATTTTATAAAAAATTCGTGTAAAAACAAGTTAAATTGTAAAAGTATTTTTATTAATATTTAATGAAAAAGTTCACTAACTATCCACATTAAATATTTTTTAGTTACATGATTGGTGTATTAAAAATATTAGTATAAAAAAAATACACGAAACTTAAAAGAAACATCTAAAATGAGATGAAAAAAATATCAATTAACTTATCACTTTCTTTGTTTCTGTTCTAAAATATAAAAAGATAATACCTATTTCATAAACTAAAATTAATATCAAGTTAATAGTTTACTTTTTTTTCAAAGATATGAAAGGAAATGATTAAAGAGAGACTATTTTGATGTAACAATAGTGTAAAAAAAATTTAAGGGGCATGCTAACTTGTGCTCTAAAAATATATATTAAAGATATTATAATTAAAAAAATGTAAATATAATTAAATATAATAAAATTATATTTAAAATTTTAAAATATTAAATACACACATTCTAAAATAAAATTTTTATAAATAATTTATTAATTTATATTTTTAGGACACATATTAATTTTTTTCTTTTTTAAATATAATGCTATTGATGATTTTTCAAAAACATATATTATTCTTTTTTAAAAGTATACTTTTATTAATGTTATCAATTTAATTGAGATCTAAAATTTAACATTAAATATGTTTATATAATAAAATTAATTTAATACTAGTAATCATACATAAACTAGAAATATTAAATTAATCAATTGAATGACGAAGAATAATTATTTAAAAAAAGAATAACATATGCTTTTGGAACATATGTTTTTGGAACACAAATTAATAAATTATTTTTGAAAATATTTTCTTAAAATGTGTAAATTCAATATTTTGAAATTTTATATATAATTTTGTTATATTTAATTATAATTAAATTTTTTAATTATAGTATTTTTAAGATATATCTTAAAAATATATGTTTGCATGATCCATAATATTTTCAATGTGATAATTAATTTAACAGTGTACTAAAATAAATTGTTCCTTTAAAGGAGTAAGATCTAATAAATGAATTATTTAATTGGTCGCATAGGAGGGCCAGGGTATGACAACAGTAACCTCTGCTGTCTTTGTCTCTTAGCTTTAGCTTTGGGATTCTCTATGCTCTATCTCTTTCATTACAAAAAATATCCATATCACTCTTTCTCTTTCTTTCTCTTTTCCCATTTTTCTCTTCATTATTTGAGAGAGATTTTTTCATTCCCTTTACTACCTTTTTTGTACTTATATTTTTACACTCTTTTTCATTTTCATTTTGTAATTTTCTAAATTGTTACCGTTTTCCTTTTTGCCCCTTCATTTTTAGTTATGGTTTTGTTTCCTTCAAAAGCCAATTTTTGAGAAACTAAACTATCAATGTCAAGGTATATCTTTTAGATCTTAAGTCATAATTTCTTCTAATAGTATCTTAAGGTTTTTCTTAATTGATGATCAATATGGATGGTATCATAATTCTCATCAAATATACTATAAAAATCATAATTGCATATGCTCAAAATGCTTTACACCAACTCTTTTTTTTTAATAAAGGCGAACTTGAAAAACTTAAATTTAACTATTACTTTTTTTTTACAAATATAAAATTACTAAATTAGTGTTACTATATAATAGACCAAGGATCACTTTAAGAATTGAATGGACCACCACATCCAAAGTTTATTCTCAACTAGCTGGGTTAGTCAAGTTTATGTAGTTTAAGTTTATTTTGATACATGTATCTCAAATAAAGAGTAGGTTACTTAGCATAATGTTGCTAGACGATTATGTTATTATCATTAATGTAGTAAAAACAAGAAGGTAATCTGAAGATATTATCTTATTTTCCTTATGGAGTAACAACAAAAAGGTAATGACACGATAAATTCTGTTAAGATAAATCAGTTAGTAATTGTCTGGTGATATTCAATTGTAAAGATGCGAGTTTAAATTTGATTGTAAGTATATATTTTTTAGATTTTAAGTGTTAAAATTCGTTTTATTTGTATTGAGTGATATTTGTATGTAAAGATATAAGATTAGCTCTTAAACTATTAAGTTAAATCAGAAACACACACTTTGAAATGATAAGAAAGCCTTCTTGACTCTATTAAAATTATTAGAAAACCTTGTTGTACATAGTTAATGGATTAGAGGTTCATTCTAATCAATTAAGTGGATTTTTATATTGAATAATCGATTATCCCATTAGAGTTAATCAATTATAATTTTTACAATTCTTATAGTTGATTAAAGGAATCCATAATTGATTAGTGACTATGCCATTCAAAAACATTTATTTTTTAGTTTAGATAATCGATTAGACCTAGTAGCTAATTGATTAGCAGCATTAAAGATCCATAGATTATTTCCAATTTTGAGTCACACTTTGTCTTATATATAGAGAGCTCATTTTTTCAATTCATTCACACCAAAAAAACGTATTTTAAATACTCTTTCTCAATCTCCATTATCTTCTCTCTTTTTATTTCTTCTTCACTTTTGTCTTAGTACTTTAAGAGTGAAATAACTTGTAAGTGAATTTGATTCTAATGTTAGAGTATTTTTGTAATATCTCTCTTGTGGGATTTTTGTTGTTTGATTATGAGTTAAACCAAGGTAAAAAACTCTTGTTTATTTTGTGAAGTTGTTCGTCAAAATTTTGTATTTGTTTTGTGAATTTATCATGTTATAAAGCTCTCGTTTAATTTGCGAGACTGTCTATTAAAATTTCCATTTAGTTTGTGATCTAAACCTAATATAAAAAACATTTGAGATTTAAATCAGATGTTTTTTATGATGCATGTCAAAAGAAAAATAAACTAAAATCTCATTTTATCTTAAAAAGATTGCTTCAAATTCTATATATCTTAAGCTTTTACACATTAACTTAGTTGGTCTAATAATAACAATTTTTATTGGCGATGAAATGTAAGAACTTGTTATTGTAAATATAATAGACACATGTAATTTTTTATTCACAAGAATGAGTCAACAATGTATTCTCTATTTTCTATGAAAAAATTAAAATTAAAGAAAGCATTTTATACAACTATTGTTCAGAGTGAAAACTCAAAACAAACCTTTTAAAAAAATTTGTAAATAAAATGGTATTTTACATGAAGTTTTCATCTTTTATAACACAACAACAAAATGATATTGTTAAATGGAAAAATAGATTTTTCAAGAGATGATATGAAACATAATCTCCTAAAAAATTGTTTCAAAGAACTTTTAGACTGGGTCGATTAATACTATATATATATATATATATATATATATATATATATATATATATATATATATATATATATATATATATATATATATATATATATATATATATATATATATATCTATATATCTTGCTTTCATTAATTTAGTTATATTTATTTTAAATATTAATGACTGTTTTGGCAAGTTTGATTCAAAATATCATAAATGTATGTTTTTGGGATACCTGAGCGCTTTAGGTCCTATATATCATAAATAAATTATGATAGTGGAGGAATCAATACACGTAAAGTTTGATGACAAATAATTTGATTTTGAAAAGTTAAAGTTAGTTAAATTATATGATATATAGTTGGTTCGTAAACGTGAATAGGGAGATGTATCCTCTGAAGCAAATGATATGGCGTCAGTCGATACCATAGTGACTAAAGTAAACAAGAACTAAAGTTATGAAATTATAAGATTTCTCATTTAGAGGATCGTATTATTTGTGATGTCATTCATATAGTCAAGATTAGAGCATCTTACATAAATGAATTGTGTTTTGTTTTATTGTTAGAAACAAAATCAACATCAAGTGATGGATTCTTAATAGATGATAAGTGGATTGTAGCAATGTGATAGGGACTAAATAAATTCAAAAGAAATGACGTTTCGACCCTTGTACCGCAACACACTGATAAATAATTTATTGGGGAAGAATATGGTAGTTGAATGGTCTAGAATAGGGGTCGAATAGATCGTTTTCAAAAAGACCAATTTAATATACATTTGTTTTTTAAAATCAGAGTTTAATAAA